TGTATTTTTAGTAGAGATGGGGTTTCTCCATGTTGGTCAGGCTGGTCTCGAACTCCCGACCTCAGGTGATCCACCCGCCTCAGCCTCCCAAAGTGCTGAGATTACAGGCGTGAGCCACTGCACCCGGCCTAACTCTGTCTCTTAAAAAAACAAAACAAAACAAAACAAAATCCTAAGAAAGAAATAATGAGTACATGCGTGAGCTGGTGTGTTCTTCTCTTTGCCTGTGAATCCAGGCCTCTCTCTACTGCCCTGCAGACATGCATGTGTGCTCCAAGCCTCAATTCAGGGAATCCTTCACCGACCCCAGGAAGCCTTTGTGGACTCCCAGCCTGGGTTAAGTGCCTCCTATGGGCGCCCTGTCCTACCTCCATTATAGCGCAAGTCACCCCTTTTCTGACAATCGGTGACTGAGTCACCTCCCTGCAAGCAGGACAGGGAGCTCCTTAAGTGCAGAGTTTGGTTTCTGACTCATCTGTGTCCCTGGTGTCACCCCACATGGAGCCTGGCATGCAGGAGGCCTCAGGGGATGTTCCTGGGCAGGACAGGAGCAAAGGTGGGAGAGGGACGCCAGGCAGGAGTGAGGCTGCACAGGAAAGACAGAGGCGGGAGGCAAAGCCAGAAGAGGGAAGGCGGGAAACAGAGAGAGGAGCGGGAGAGGGAGGAGGGCAGGGGGCAGCTCTGGCTCCCAGGGTGCTCGGCCTGCGAGGCCCTGTTCTGAGCACTTTATCCACAGCGCTCTGTGCCTCCAGGCGGGCACTGGTATTAACCCCACTGAACACAGGGGGCAGCTGAGGCCAGGGAGGTGAAGCCACTTGTCCGGGGCCACCCAGCCAGGAAGAGGCCGAGCCAGGATGAATCGAGCTCAGAGCTTGAGTTTGTAAACTTTGGGCTGGGCTGCCTCTCAGGGAGAGTGGGGACCTGGGGGGTGTCAGAGGGCACAGGGATGCCAAGGCCACCTCCTGCAGCCAGCATCTAGGCCACACCCACCCGGCTGAGGCGCGACACAGCCAGGGAGATGCACGTTTTGAAGTCGTCTGGGTTCTTCTTGCAGAGACAGGTGATGAGGCTGACAGCAGCCGTGACCACGCCCTGCAGGGGCAGAGGAGAGGCAAGTCAGGCCCTGGGGGAGGCGGGCACCTGAGAGCAGAGGCTCAGAAGCGGGGCAAGGTCGGGCTGTGTGTGCAGTTGGGAGGATGGGGTTTAGGGGTGTGCACACGTGTCACTGTGCGTGCTTCAGAGGTGGGGTGAGGAGGCCACGGGGCCTCGGGCACCATGACCAGCACTGACCTGGGTGTGTGGGGTATCCCTGGCAGGACCCCAGGCAGCTGGGTAAGGAGCAGTGAAGGGGTGGGACTCCAGAGAGTTGAGACTATGGTGAGTGGGACAGGGGTCAAGGTTTCTGTGCCGGTGGGCAGGTGATGGGCGCTGTTGGGGGAATCTCTGGGTATCAGAAACAGAGAGTGGGATTTTCTAAGGGGCTGGGTGGCTGGTGAGGGGTTTGGGGGGTCACTGGACAGGATCCCTAGCCAGCCAGGCGAGTGTCAGAGATGGGGATGGGAGGGTTTCTGGACACTTGGGCAGGTAATGAGTACCAGGGACACTGGATCATGGTTTCTGGTGCCTGGTGAACGTCAGAGCCAAGTGAGGAGCCCCAGACATCCAGGGGGTCTGGGCCGAAGGGGGAGCCCCAGGCATCCAGGGGGTCAGACCCGAGGGCGTAGCCCCGGGCATCCAGGGGGTCTGGGCCAAGGAGGGAGCCCCAGGTGTCCGGGGGGGTCAGGGCTGAGGTGGGAGCCCCAGGCAACCAGGGGGGTCAGGGCTGAGGTGGAGCCCCGAGCATCCAGGGGGGTCAGGGCTGAGGTGGAGCCCCGGGCATCCAGGGGGGTCAGGGCTGAGGTGGAGCCCCGAGCATCCAGGGGGGTCAGGGCTGAGGTGGAGCCTCTGGGCATCCAGGGGGGTCAGGGCTGAGGTGGAGCCCCGGGCATCCAGGGGGGTCAGGGCTGAGGTGGAGCCCCGGGCATCCAGGGGGGTCAGGGCTGAGGTGGAGCCCCGAGCATCCAGGGGGGTCAGGGCTGAGGTGGAGCCCCAGGCATCCAGGAGGCGTGAGGGCAGAGGGCTCACCATGTGCTGGTCATTGAGCAGGTGTACCACGCGTGCTGTCCACTCGCCCATGGGCACCAGGTCAGGCGAGGCCTTGTAGAGTCGCAGGAGGCACAGGGCCGCACTCTGCTTGACGCTGTCCATGCTGTCCCTGTGGGTACACCATGTGGGGCAGGGGAAGCAGAGTCAGTGACCCCAGCACCTCCCCTCCTCTCCTGTTTCTCCCAGGAAGGGTGTGCGAGGCCAGTGAGAGGGACAGACGGCCAGGCTACCGCAGGATCCAATCTGGCGCCGCCCTCATGGCCCACCAGAACTCAGTGTCTTCATCTGCAAAATGACTGCATCTCAGTAACCTCATGGGGTCCCTGGCAGGGCTCAGGAACATGTCAGGCCTGGCTCTGCACCTTCATTCATTCACCAAGCACCTACTGGGTGCCCATGGGGTACCAGGCAGTGCTGTGGGCGCCGTGGATAGAGTGGCGAACAAAGTGGTCCAAACACTTGTCCTTACATGTCAGACAGCACCACGAAAACACATACATCAAATACTGTAAGGGCTGGGCATGGTGGCTCATGCCTGTAATCCCAGCACTTTGGGAGGCCGAGGTGGGAGGATCACTTGAGGCCATAAGTTCAAGACCAGCCTGGACAACAGTGAGACCCAGTCTCTTCAAAAATACAAAAATTAGCTGGCTGTGGTGGCGCAGGCTTGTAATCCTAGCTACTTGGGAGGGTGAGGTGGGAGGACTGCTTGAGCCTGGGAGGTCGAGGATGCAGTGCGCCACGAGTGTGCCACTGCACTCCCTCTAGCTTGGGCAACAGAGTTAGATCTGTCTCTAAATAAATAAAAACATTTAAAATAAACAAAACAGAGTAACTTAATGAGGAAAGACTGAAAATCCTCTGCAACAGAACGTCCCAGGCAGAGGGGACAGCCTGTGCCAGGACCATCAGGAAGGCGGAGCCTGCGCATAGGAGGAGCAGCGAGGAGGCCTGGGGGCTGCGGAGGCCTGCAGGCTGCGGCCTGAGCCATGGGACAAGAGGCTGCAGATAGGACAGGGAGGGAACATAGGGCCAGACCCTGCAGAGCCTTGTGGGTTGCAGTGAGGACTTGGTTTTTTACTGATTGGGGGATGGAAGCCGCTGTGGGTGGTGAGCAGAGAATCAGCGTGACATTAACGTGACAGCAGGAACAGCTACCCCCAGACCCCTTCGGCCTGTCCAGCACTCCCACAGGTCTCTGGATGGATTCACTCATTTATCTTCTCTCCACAGCAAACTGAAGAAATGGGTGTGTTTTTGATAGGTGTTTAAAGTGTCCCTCTGGCTATTGTGAGGGAACAGACTTTGCAAGGCCCTTTTGAATCCAAGGGAACATAAATTCACAGGTTCTGAGGGTTAGGGTGGCTCATGCCTGTAATCCCAGCACTTTGGGAGGCTGAGGCAGGAGGATCACTTGAGCCCAGGAGTTCGAGACCAGTCTGGGCAACATGGTGAGACCCCCATCTCTACTAGAAATACGAGAATTAGCCAAGCGTGGTGGCGCATGCCTGGAGACCCAGCTATTTGGCAGGCTGAGGTGGGAGGATCACTTGAGCCTGGGAGGTGAAGGCTGCAGCCTGGGTAGGTGGCAGAGCAAGACCCCGTCTCCAAACAAAAAAAAAGGGTGGGGGTACTTTGCAGATATGATGAAGTTAAGGATCATGAGCTGGAGAGAGGATCCTGGGTGATCCAGGTGGACCCGATGTCATCACAGGGTCCTTATAAGGGAAAGATACAGTTCAGAGTCAGAGAGACATGATGTGAGGATGGAACAGAGGTCAGGCAGGAGAGAAGATGCCACGCCACTGCCTTTGGGGATGGGGGAAGGGGCCACGAGCCAAGGAAAGCAGGTGGCCTCTAGGAGCTGGAGAAGGCAAGGACATGACCTCTCCTCTAGGGCCCCCGGAAGGGACCAGCCCTGGCCATGAGATGGATGTTGGACTTCCCACGTCCAGAACTGGTGTTTGACACTGCTGTGCTTGTGGTAATTCATCACAGCAGCCACAGGAAAGCAGTGTAGGCACTTGTACTTGTCTGGCACAGAACCTGGCAGCCAGCGGACAGCCCATCTCAGAGGGCTGACTCCAGGCCCCAACCGTAACCCAGCTCCCAGCACAGCGAAGAGCATGGAGCATGACGTTGTTCTAGAAGAGGATCCCAAGGGAGCACCTTCTGGGGTCAGACATGCCTGCCTGAGGCTGTGACTGTGGGGCGCAGTTTGGGGTAAGCCACTGACCCTCTCTGATGGGCTGTTTCCCCTTCAGGAAAATGAAGAGCCTTGTCAACTTTGGGGACAAAGAAATAAGACTGTGGGCCAGGCATGGTGGCTTATGCCTATAATCCCAACACTTTGGGAGGCTGAGGCAGGTGGATCACTTGAGGCTAGGCGTTTGAGACTGGCCTGGTCAACATGGTGAAACCCCATCTCCACAAAAAAAAAAAAAGAAGGCCAGGTGCAGTGGCTCACGCCTATAATCCGAGCACTTTTGGGACACTGAGGCAGTGGATCACCTGAGGTCAGGAGTTTGAGACCAGCCTGGTCAACATGGTGAAACCCCATCTCTTCTAAAAATACAAAAATTAGCAGGGTGTGGTGGCGTGTGCCTGTAATCCCAGCTACTCGGGAGGCTGGGGCAAGAGAATCGCTTGAGGTTGCAGTGAGCCGAGATCGCACCACTGCACTCCAGCCTGGGCAACAGAGCGAGACTTTGTCTCAAAAAAAAAAAAAAAGAAAAGAAAAAAGAAAAAAAAAAAGAAATGAGACTGTGTGGTGCATGGCCATAGCCTTGAGTAAGAGGAGGCGCCGGGAGCTGTCAAGACTGGCCCAGTCATGGCCTATCAGTAAAGGCTTTCCCAGAAAACACCCAATGGACGGCAAAGGACATGGGGAGAAGTCCTCAGGGCAGACCTGCACGAGTCAAAGGCCTGTGGCAACATGTCTCACTGGATGTGCAGCCACCCAGCAGCTGGCTCCTGCCATCAGCCAGGCAGATACCTGCCCAGCTGACACCTGTTGCCACAGCCTCCCAAAGTGCTGGGAACCCTCGTGTGCTGCAGCTGGGGGCGGACACAGGGACAGGCCCTCTGGAGAGGCTCTGGGCTCCCTCTGTCCAGAAAGGCCACCGCTGTGTGTGAAGTAGACCAAGACCAACAGTGCTGCCCCCAGACGCCCACCCTACAGGAACGTTCACAGCCCAGTGATCATCAAGTTAGAACCAGAAACCAGCAACAAGCCTGTCCACAGATGATGCTCCATTTATGACAGCACTTTTCCCATCTCAGTCATGGCAGGCATCTCCCCAGCCCTGATTCCTGGCCACTCTCCCATCGCTGCAACAGTGCGCATCTCCCGAGCCCTGACTCCGGGACACTTTCCCATCTCTGTCATGGCGCACATCTCCCGAGCCCTGACTCCGGGACACTTTCCCATCTCTGTCATGGCGCACATCTCCCGAGCCCTGACTCCGGGACACTTTCCCATCTCTGTCATGGCGCACATCTCCCGAGCCCTGACTCGGGGCCACTTTCCCATCGCTGCAATGGCGCGCATCTCCCGAGCCACAGCGCATCTTCCGAGTCCTGACTCCGGGCCAAGCTCTGCTCTAAGCACTTCCACACAGCTCGCTCACTCTCCACCACAGCCCTCTAAGGACGCGGATTCTATCATCTCTATTTACAGATAAGGAGACCACACAAAGGAATAAGAGCTATTTATCAACTTGCTTAAGTGGAATAAGGGTTGTGGTGCTACTTAGGAAAAGGTTAAACTACACAATATCAAGCTGCATACCCAGGCATAAAAAATAAAACCACCAAATCAGGCACAGTGGCTCATGCCTGTAATCCCAGCACTTTGAGAAGCCGAGGCCACTTGAGCTCAGGAGTTCAAGACCAGCCTGGGTAATATAGTGAGACCTCGTTTCTATAAAAAGTTCAAAAATTAGCCAGGCGTGGTGGCTTGTGCCTGTAGTCCAGGCTACTGGAGTGGCTGACGTGGGAGGATCACCTGAGCCTGGGAGGTCAGGGCTGCAGTGAGCTATGATCATGCCACTGCACTCCAGCCTGGGCAGCAGAGCAATACTCTATCTCCGGCAAATCATGGATATGCACCACAATGTGGATGAACCTGAAAAACATCTTGTTGAGTGGAAGAAGCCAGACACAGAAGGCCACTGTGCGGTTCCATTTCTACGAAATGTCCACATTAGGCAAATCCGTGACAGAAAGCAGACTGGTAGCAGCCGGGGGCTGGGGGGAAGAGGGAATGGGGAGGGACCGCTAATGGGTACGGGGTCTTTTTTTTGGAGCCATGAATGTTCTGCAATTAGGTGGTAGTGGTGGTTGCACAGCATCATGAATATACGAGAAACCACTGAACTGAGCACCTTCAAATTGTTAAAATGGCTGGGCACGGTGGCTCATGCCTATAATCCTAACACTTTGGGAGGCTGAGGCAGGCGGATCAATAGAGGTCAGGGGTTTGAGACCAGTCTGGCCAACATGGTGAAACCTTGTCGCTACTAAAAAACAAAAAACAAACAAAAACCCAAAAATTAGCCAGGTGTGGTGGCGCGCACCTGTAATCCCAGCTACTCAGGAGGCTGAGACAAGAGAATTGCTTGAACTCGGGAGGCAGAGGTTGCAGTGAGCCAAGATTGCACCACTGCACTCCAGCCTGGGTGACAGAGAGAGACTCTGTCTCAGAAAAAAAAAAAAAAAAAGCCTAGCTGGGAGTGGTGGCTCACACTTGTAATCCCAACACTTTGGCAGGCTGAGGCAGGAAGATTGCTTGAGCTCAGGAGTTCAAGACTAGCCTGGGCAACATAGCAAAACCCTGTCTCTACAAAAAAAAAAAAAATACAAAAATTAGCCAGGCGTGGTGGTGCACGCCTGTAATCACAGCTACTTGGGGGGCTGAGGTGGGAGGACTGCTTGAGCCCAGGAGTTGGAGGTTGCAGTGAGCCAAGACTGTGCCACCACACTCCAACCTGGACAACAGGGCAAGACCGTCTCCAAAAAAAATAAAAAGTAAAAAAAAAAGTCTACCTACAAAATAAAGTTCCTCCGCGCCCCAGTCACTGTCGAGGCCAAGTTTCCAGTGTGGAGGGGGCAGCCTGGAGTCAGATAGCCCCACCCTGGCCCCTTGACCCTGGCAGGGCACCACCCCTTGACATCCACTCCAGGGACAGTGTCACCTGCACCCACACATGTTGGCCACGCTGGCCTCCCTCTCCGTCCTCAAAGTGCCCAGTCCCTCCCTCTTCAGGGTGGCTTGTAACCTGTCTCCCCCAAGCTGATGCCGACTGCCTGTCCTTGTCCTAAAGAAACTGCTGGCAGCAGGCTGGGCGCGGTGGCTCACGCCTGTAATCCCAGCACTTTGGGAGGTGGAGGCGGGCAGATCATGAGGTTAGGAGTTTGAAACCATCCTTGCCAACATGGTGAAACCCCGTCTCTACTAAAATACAAAAAAATTAGCCGGGTGCGGTGGTGCATGCCTGTAATCCAGCTACTCGGGAGGCTGAGGCAAGGGAATCGCTTGAACCCGGGAGGCAGAGTTTGCAGTGAGCTGAGATCGCGCTATTGCACTCCAGCCTGGCAATAGAGCAAGACTCCCATCTCAAAAAAAAAAAAAAGAAACTGCTGGCAGCATTCGCGACTGGCCACTCCCTCCTCCATCAAAGTTCTCAGCATTCTGAGTCATGGCCTGATCCTGATTTTCCTCCCACACCCCATCACGCCTCCCATCCTCCCTGCCAGCAGAGTGTTAACACACTGGGCTGCACTGGGACCACTCAAGGGCCCAGCTTTTGTGGATTCCCAGTTAACATCTGCCCTCAAGGGCTTCACTGCTTAACTGCTATAACTGCCATCGATCCCCATGCTGTCAGATACAATAGCCCCCAGCCACGTGTGGCGACTGAGCACTGAGACTGCTGCGAATCCAAACTGAGAGACACCAAAACGCCGCATTCCAAAGACTTAGCACCAAACATGGATGTCAAATCAAATAGCTCATGAATAATTTTTATGCTGATTCAGTGTCAAAGTGATAACATTTTGGGTGGATCAGGTTAAACTGAACTATTACACGCTAGAAAAGAGAAAAACACCTATGTGGCTTGCATTTTATATATTTTTTTATATATATGCTTTTTTTATTTTCAGACAGGGTCTCACTGTCACCCAGGCACGATCACAGCTCACTGCAGCCCAGGCCTCCTCACTGTACCCTGGGTCTCTTGAGCCCAAGCAATCCTCCCATCTCAGTCACTCAAGTAGCTGGGATTACAGGCACACATTTTTGTATTTTGCTTTTTTTTTTTTTTTCTATTGAGATGGAGTCTCGCTCTGTCACCCAGGCTGGAGTGCAGTGGTGCAATCTTGGCTTACTGCAACCTCTGCCCTCTGGGTTTAAGTGATTCTCCTGACTCAGCCTCCTGAGTAGCTGGAACTACAGGTGTGCACCACTGCACCCTGCTAATTTTTTTTTGAGATGGAGTCTCACTCTGTCACCCAGGCTGGAGTGCAGTGGCGTGATCTCCACTCACAGAAAGCTCCGCCTCCTGGGTTCAAGCAATTCTCCTGCCTAAGCCGCCTGAGTAGCTGGGATTACAGGTGCTCACCACCACACTTAATTTTTGTATTTTTAATAGAGACGGGGTTTCACCATGTTGGGCAAGCTGTTCTCGAACTCCTGACCTCAAATGATCTGCCCGCCTCAGCCTCCCCAGTTGCTGGGATTACAGGTATGAGCCATCGTGCCCCGCCTGTATTTTGCATTATATTTTTATTGGACGGTGCTGACCTCTCTCAGATATCTCTCCCTCCCGCTCTGACTCCCTGCAATGCAGCTTCTTCCGCAGAGTCCTACTCAGATGTCTAATACACATCTCAAATTCAGCATGACCAAACCACACTCGGGTTCTGCCCTCTCTGACCCATTTTCCTGTAGCCTTCGTCACACTGCTGCAAGGTCTGACACCATTCACTCACCTACTAAATGTCCCCACTTCATCCTAGCACAGCACATATAATCCATCGACTCTACTCCCGAAACATGCCCTTCTCATGACCACATGACCGCCACAGCCCTGGTCCAAGCCACCACAAGCTCTGACCTGGACCTGGTGATGGATGCCTGGCTGGTCTTGTTGCCCCACAGTCACCCCTTACAGTCTGTACTTCTGCTTATGATTTCCTGGGCTATTTGAATCTGGGGATCATCCTCTTTCATTCATTCTGGAATAGTTTCAACCATTATCTCTCTTCGAACACTGCCCCTGTCACAATTTCTCCCTACAACTCTAGAACGGCATTCTGTTAGGTGTTCTCTGTCTTCCATGAGTCTCAGTCTCTTTCCTAAAATCCCCATTGCTTTGTTTCTTTGGGATGCATTTTGATGTCTTTCTTCAGTTCTACTGCCTGGTCACTAATTCTGGCTTTGGCTGTGTCTACTCTGCTAACTAAAGTGGACACTTAATTTTTATTTTTTTAAATATTTGTTTGTTTGTTTTTTTAGACAGGGTCTTGCTCTGTCGCCCAGGTTAGAGTGCAGTGATGGGATCACAGCTCACTGCAGCCTCATCCTCCCAGGCTCAAGCAATCCTCCTGCCTCAGCCTCCCGGATGGACTACCCAGGCACACGGCACCCCACCTGGCTAATATTTTAGGTTTTGTGGCAATAGGGTCTCACTATGTTGCTGATCTTGAACTTCTGGCCTCAAGTGATCGTCCCGCCTCAGCCTCCCAAAGTGCCTGGATTATAGGTGTGAGCCACTACTGTGCCTGGCAATTTTTGACTATTTCAATTACATTTTCAAATCTGCTTAAACTTTACTCATATTTTAAAATGCTTCTGTTATTTATTGAAACATATGAAATATACTTATTTTACATGCTGTATAATTCCAATTACAAAGTTATTTTCTGTTTTCTTTTTTTTTTTTTTTTGAGACAGAATCTTGCTCTGTCACCCAGGCTGCAGTGCAGTGGCACGATCTCGGCTCATTGCAACCTCCGCCTCCCAAGTTCAAGTGATTCTCCTGCCTCAGTCCCCCAAGTAGCTGGGATTACAGGTGTGCGCCACCACGCCTGGCTAATTTTTGTGTTTTTACTAGAGATGTGGTTTCGCCATGTTGGCCAGGCTAGTCTCGAACTCCTGACTTCAGGCGATCTGCCCACCTTGGCCTCCCAAAGTGCTGTGATTACAGGTGTGAGCCACCACACCCAGCCTTCTGTTTTATTTCTGCTGTCTGCTGATTCTCTCTCATGGTGTCTTGTGTGTGTTTAGAGATTTTTGGCTCTGAGCTACTCATGTCACTTGGAGCTTTATCTGTGGATATCACTGAAGCTTGTGGTGAAAATGGGTTTCCTCAGAAAAGTATCATGTTTGCTTCTGTGAAGCACTAGGAAACCTCCAGTTTCCATCACTTTAAACTAAAGGTTGACTTAGGGCTTTTTGGACTACCCAGATAGGGTAAAGTCAGGCTGAAAACCAGTCTGAGGGCTGTTCCATGCCAAAATTTCGGACAGGTAATTTTCCTTAGAGTCCCCAAGGGGGTTTATTTCTAGGTCACTCTCACTTTGAAGTATAGCCTTCGAGAACTTCTCGGACAAGCTTTGTCTTCTGTTCCCAGAGGCTGCAGGGCCCCAAAACCGATACTCGGGTTCACCCAGGTCAGCAAATGCCTTCTAAGCAAACGCTGGCTCCAGCACACAGCTCATCTGCTTGGGTGCTTGGTTCCTCTTTGCTTGTGGCCTGTGTGCTCCTCATTTTCTGGCTACCTCATGAATCCATTAAATAATATTGTCTTTCCTCTCTTATCCAATATTGACAGTTAGGTTTCAGGGAAAACATGAGTTGGGTGCCTAGTTGACCACACCGCCAGAAATAGAAGTCCTCTGTGTGCACACCAAGCTGGAGTACACTGGCGCCATCACAACTCACAGCCTCCACCTCCCGAGCTCAGGGGATCCTCCCACCTCAGCCTCCTGAGTAGCTGGGACTATAGGTGCATGCCACCATGCCCTGGCAATTTTTGGAATTTTTAGTAGAGATTGGGATTTTGTCATGTTGCCCAGGCTGGTCTTGAACTCCTAGACTCAAGCAATCTACCTGCCTCAGCCTCCCCAAATGCACGGATGATGTGAGCCATCACACCTGGCAAATTCTACACTTCATCCTGCGATTCTTCCATCACCATTTGTCTCCTGCTCCAGACCATGAACACGGGAGGGCAATGACCATGTCCGCCTCTGGTCAGGACAACATCCCCAGCAATCAGCACAGTGCCTGGCACATAGTATGTGCTCAGCAAATGTTTGGTGAATGAACGGAGATGAGGAAGTTCTGGAGGGCCGTCACCCATGGCGTACAGTTATCCCTCTTATCACAGGTGTTACAGTTCTGCAGTTCAGAGGCACCCCACTGGCTTTGTGGGGAAGCAGCCTCACACCGTCAAGTCAGCTTTGTATCACAGGAAGACACAAGTATGGGGCTGCCGCCGGAACCACTGGGTCCCCAGCCCAGCGTTAGCCCACATGCCGGCTGGGAGGCTTTGGGCAGGCGACACAGCCTCTCCGAGCCTCGCCCTTGGTTGAGACTCATCACCCCCAAGCTCCCCACTGCCAACGGGTCCCCACTGCCTTACCCGGCCACCAGGATGCGGGGGATGTCAGCGGCAAAGGCCTCACCCATCTCCCGGCTGCCCACGTTGGCGATGCAGTGCAGGGCCAGGCACATGAAGGTGGGGTTGCGGCTGGCCAGGTCATTCTTGATGGCGTTGTTGATGAGGCGGATCAGCTCCGAGTTCGAGTTCACCAGCACAGAAATGAACAGGTAACCCTGTGGGGAGGGAGGTCGTGGATGGCTAGGAGCCTTGTGACTGAGTGGCCCCAGACCCAACCCTCAGACCCAGGAGTCCAGGCCCCCAGGTCCCTCCTCCCTCAGATCCACAAAGTCCAGGCCCCAGATTCAACCCTCAGACCCAGGAGTCCAGGCCCCCAGGTCCCTCCTCCCTCAGATCCACAAAGTCCAGGCCCCAGACCCAACCCTCAGACCCAGGAATCCAGGCCCCCAGCCCCTCTTCCTTCAGATCCACAAGTCTAGGCCCCCAGCCCCTCCTCCCTCAGACTCAGGAGTCCAGACCTCCAGCCCCTCTTCCTTCAGATCCACAAGTCTAGGCCCCCAGCCCCCTCCTCCCTCAGACCCAGGAGTCCAGGCCCCCAGCCCCTCCTCCCTCAGACCCAGGAGTCCAGGCCCCCAGCCCCTCCTCCCTCAGACCCAGGAGTCCAGACCCCCAGCCCCTCCTCCCTCAGACCCAGGAGTCCAGGCCCCCAGCCCCTCTTCCTTCAGATCCACAAGTCTCCAGACCCCCAGCCCCTCCTCCCTCAGACCCAGGAGTCCAGACCCCCAGCCCCTCCTCCCTCAGACCCAGGAGTCCAGACCCCCAGCCCCTCCTGCCTTAGACCCAGGAGTCCAGACCCCCAGCCCCTCCTCCCTTAAACCCAGGAGTCCAGGCCCTGGCACCCCCCTCTCCAGACTCACTATTTGCTTCTCTGTGTATTTATTGGAACTCAACAGGTTCACAGCCTCCATGTGCCCAAAGTCAATGTCATGGCCAAGCAGGAAGATGAAAAGCAGTTTACATACGTATTTTTTCTTACTGTAGCCATCCAAGGCTTTGTCTCCTAGGGTAAAGGAAGGAGGAAGGGGGAGCCAGAAATGAGGAAATGTCACAGGATAGGTCACAGGAGCCCCAGCTCCCAGCCCTGAGCCAGAAGTTGGGCCCCCAGCCTACCTTTGAACTTGGAGCGGATGTTGGCCAGTTCCTTGTTAATTCTCTTAATCTCCGCCTCTTTGCTCTTACCTGGGAGAGGAGGAAGAGGGTGGGCGGTGAGGGGTCTGGGGAGTCAGCCAGCTGCCTTCTCTTTCTCAGGCGCGGCCCCACCCAGCAGGAAGGGCAGATCTTCTCTGCCCCCAGGCACTGGGGCTCAGGACAGGCCAGGACCCCTTCTCTGGCTGGGAGCTTCAAAGAGGGAAGAACCAGGGCTTGCTGAGCCCCACAGCACAGAGCACACACCCTTGGGCTGTCCCTGACTCCCTCTCTCCTTCCTCCTCCCACTGTGGCCCCTGATCTATGGGGCCCCTCAGGGCCCTGGACATGCTCCCTGAGAGCTCCTATCCCCACTCCCCATACGCAACGGACATGTGATGAATGAATGAATGAATGAAGAGCTCGGCTGGCCCCAGGGTGCTCACCCCTACCACTGAGCTCACTGCCTCCTCTCCCAGTTCTCAATCCCAGGAAGGTCCCGCTGTCCACCTAGTCACCAGGTCAGACCCTTGGGTGCTGTTCTCACCCCCTTTGTCCCCACAGCCATGGATTCGTCCTCTCTCGCATGGCCTGTCCCCACTGCCTCCTGTCCCCTGGCTGCCAACCTCTCCCCAATTTGTCTGGGACATTCCTACACCTCTGACAGGACCTGCTAATGGAATAAGTACAGAAAGCCTTCCCTGATCCTACAGGCCAGGTCTCTGCTTCCTCCATGTTCCTCAATGCCCTACAGCACCTGCTTTGGAGCACAATCTGACTAGATGCTCTCGGCCACCCTCTCTGCTACTCCTGTCCCTGTTCCACTAACCCCAGACTTCATTCCTTCCTTGACAGATTCCACTGCTCACTCTGCTCCTCCAAACAGAACCTGGACATCCTCACGCCAATTGGGCTACTGCCTCATCCTTTTTATTTATTTATTTTTGAGACAGGGTCTTAGTCTGTCGCTCAGGCGCAGTGCAGTGGTGCAATCACAGCTCACTGTAACCTCAAACTCCTGGGATCCAGCGATCCTCCACCCTCAGCCTCCCAAAATGCTGGGATTACAGGTATAAGCCACTGTGCCTGGCTGCCTCCTCCTCTTAACTTGACCTTCAGAACATGTCCTGAGCATCTCCAAGGTGACCACTTCATCCAGACCCCATGCTCGCTCGCTGGGCTCAGTGAAGCAGCCTCCCCTCTGGGATGTGTTTCCATATCCTGGGCTCCTCCCTTGTGTTTCCATATCCTGGGCTCCGGGATACCAGCTGGGGGTGCTCCACCCCATGGCCCACCAAGCCCTCTGCCCCTGTCACAGCCACCCTGCCGGTGTCGCCCCTCAGACCCCTAAGGTCCGTCCAGGCCCCCTGGCCTCCATTCTGCTCTGGGAACACGCATGTCCTCCTGCCTCAAGGACCTTCACACAAGCTGTGCCCTCTTGCCGGGGCCACCCCTCCCGTCATCTTCCCGTCATTTGGGTCTTGGCTCCTGCCACCTCTGAAAGGCCATTCTGTTTCACTTCCTTAAAGTCAATTCTTTATTATTCTGCTTAAAGAGTTATTTTTCAAAAAGTCCTCTCTGGTACATTTCACCATGTCGCAATTTTATTTCTCTCCACTGTCGAACTTCCTCCAACTTCAGACTATAAGCATCAGGAGGGAGCTCCTAGAACAGTGCCCTGCATACAGCAGGTGCTCTATAAATGTCTAGTTATCTAAGGGGCAGAGATCTGCTCTGACCCACATTCTTCAGGGCGTAGTCTCCAGCAGGGTGAGGTGTGCATTCAATGAATGAATCAATGGCTGAGAAAGCAAGTATATGTGCCATCCCTCTCTCTAGAAATCCTGTCTTGTCCCTGCTCCCAACTTCTATGGAAGCTCCCATAAGCCTCACTTCAGATGTCACCTCCTCCAGGAAGCCCCTCTGATTAGCACCTCCTCATCAGTGCTAAGGGGACCCTAGTGCTGTACCATCCAATATAGCAGTTGTCAGCTAGTGGCTCCTGAGACCCTGAAATGTGGCCGTTCCAAACCGAGAGGTGCTGTCAACAGCAAACATACACGGGATTTAGAAGACAGTGTGGAGAAAAAATGTAAAATAGTTCAGTAAAAATTACAGGGGCTAGGCGCAGTGGCTCATGCCTATAATCCCAGCACTTTGGGAGGCCAAGGCAGGAGGATGGCTTGAGCCCAGGAGTTGCAGACCAGCCTGGACAACATGGTAAGAACCTGTGTGTCAACAGAATAAAATAATATAAATTATAAAACATTGATCACATGCTGAAATAATAATTTGGGTATACCAGGTTATATAGACACATTATTAAAATTAATTTTGCCTGTTTCTCTCTTTTTTTTTGGTAGCCCAGGCTGGAGTGCAGTGGTGTGATCTCGGCTCACTGCAACCTCTGCCTCCTGGGTTCAGTGCTTTTGTGCTTCAGCCTACGAAGTCACTGGGACTAGAGGTGCATAACACCACATTCAAATAATTTTTTTTTTTTTTTTGAGATGGAGTCTCACTCTGTCGCCCAGACTGGAGTGCAGTGGCGTGATCTCGGCTCACTGCAACCTCCACCTCCCAGGTTCAAGCAATTCTTCTGCCTCAGCCTCCCCACTTGCTGGGACTACAGGCGCCCGCCACCATCCTGGCTAATTTTTTGTATTTTTAGTAGAGACGAGGTTTCACCGTGTTAGCCAGGATGGTCTCGATCTCCTGACCTTGTGATCCACCCACCTCAGCCTCCCAAAGTGCTGGGATTACAGGCATGAGCCACTGCGCCTGGCCCTAATTTTTTTTTTTTTTTTTTGTAGAGATGAGGTCTTACTATGTTGCCCAGGTTGATTTTGAACTCCTAACTTCAAGTGATCCACCTGCCTCAGCCTCCCAAAGTGCTGGGATTACAGGTATGAGCCACCATGCCCGGCCTACATACGTATGGTTTTGTCATAAATATGTATATATACATACGCATACCTTAAATATAGTATATATAAAGTATATATATATGTAAAGAATATATGTGTTATTTAAATATGTATTACTTAATTTAAATAATATGTATTATTTCATTACAGTCCTGCCCCGCATATCAACATTCCAGTCATCAACAAATCGCACACACTGCAGTGGTTCCATACGATTCTAAGACCTTATTTCCACTGTACCTTTTCTATGTTTAGATGCACAAATACTTACTGTGTCACGGTTGCCTACAGGACAGTACCAAGCTGTGCAGGTTTTTTTGTTTTATTCTGAGACCGAGTTTCACTCTTGTCACCCAGGCTGGAGAGCAATGGCGTGATCTCAGCTCACGGCAACCTCCGCCTCCCGGGTTCAAGTGATTCTCCTGCCTCAACCTCCCGAGTAGCTGGGATTACATGCATGCGCCACCACACCCAGCTAATTAGTGTATTTTTAGTAGAGACGAGGTTTCACCACGTTGGCTAGGCTGGTCTCAAACTCCTGACCTCAAGTGATCTGCCCGCCTCAGCCTCCCAAAGTGCTGGAATTACAGGCATGAGCCACTGTGCCTGGGCACTGTGCAGGTCTATAGCCCAGCAGCAACAAGCTGTGCCAGACAGCCTCCGTGAGTGGTAGGCTATACCATCTCCATTTGTGTAAGCACACTCCAGGATGTTCACACCATGACAAAACCACCTAACGATGCATTTCTCAGAACATATCCCCATCGTTAAGCAATACACGAGTGTATTCATTCAATTGTACTTAAAATGATTTAAATACATACACAAATATGTGCATGTATATGTATTCTTTAACTATTCTTTAAATTTAAAGAAATATGTATCATAGACACATATTTATATTTATGCATTTCTTTAGTATTCATTTAAAGAAATACCTATTATTATATGTATAATATGTAGATTTCTCTCTTTTTTTTGAGACGGGGTCTCACTCTTTCACTCAGGTTGGAATGCAATGGTGTGATCTCAGCTCACTGCAGTCTTGGCCCCTCGGGCTCAAGTGATCCTCCCATCTCAGCCTCCCAGGTAGCTGGAACTGTGAGGTGCGCCACCACACTCAGCTAATTTTTTTTCTATTTTTTGTAGAGATAGGGTTTTGCCATGTTGCCCAGGGTGGTCTCAGCTCCTCCGCCCACCTCAGCCTCCCAAAGCGCTGGGATTATAGGCGTGGGTCACCGCTCCCTGCCAGGAAATTTCTTTTTTTTTTTGAGACAGAGTCTCACTCTGTCGTCCAGGCTGGAGTACAGTGGCGTGATCTCAGCTCACTGCAACCTCCGCCTCCCACATTCATGCCATTCTCCTGCCTCAGCCTCCTAAGTGGCTGGTACTACAGGCGCCCACCACCATGCCCGGCTAATTTTTTGTATATTTAGTAGACATGGGGTTTCACCGTGTTAGCCGGGATGGTCTTGATCTCCAGACCTCATAATCTGCCGCCTCGGCCTCCCAAAGTGCTGGGATTACAGGCATGAGCCACTGCACCTGGCCGGAAATCTCTTTTTAAAGTATTATTTAAGTTGTATTTAAAATGTATTTACATATATACAAATATGCATATATATATATTTTTTCTTTATATAGGATTTTTACTTTTTTTCTTGAGACAGAGTCTCCCTCTGTCGCCCAAGCTGGAGTGCAATGTCTCCATCTCGGCTCACTGAAACCTCCACCTCCCAGGTACAAGCAATTCTCCTGCCTCAGCCTCCCGAGTAGCTGGGATTACAGGCGCCCACCACCACACCCAGCTATTCTTTTTTTTTTTTCGTATTTTAATAGAGACAGGGTTTCACCATGTTGACCAGGCTGGTTTCGAACTTCTGACCTCAAGTGATCCACCCACCTCAGCCTCCCAAAGTAAAGTGCTAGGATTACAGGCATGAGCCACTGCGCCCGGCCTTTAAATAGGCTTTAAATGGTCCACATCTATTTGATGCTATCTTCTGCATAACTGGTATAATTTGCTATTAAAAAAAAAAAAAAGAATTCAGAAAGAAAAGCAAAGCTCTTGGTCTTCAAAAGAGGAGCAGCTGTGGCCCTAAAGGGAGGGCTCTGGCAGAGGCCCAGCTC